AATTCCACTTCACAATCCCAGTGCTCCTCAATCCTACCCAATGCTCTAACGTCTGCTCGCATTCACTCGTTCGCAGCCGGCCTATTCTCACCTTCTCCCTGCCTCATTCGCTCTCTGCCCGCGTTGCTGTGAGTCCGCTGCTGCTGCTGCTGCTACTCCTCCTGTTGCACCGCTCTGCTCTGCACTCGCATCATCCCAGAAACGGCGGATTCATTCAAGCGCCCACGGAGACGGCCCACGCTGCAAGCTCCACCCCCTCCACCCCCCTTCCCAGCACCGCATTCTATTTTCTCACTCCTTCCCACCTTTTCGTTTCTCCCCCTCGTCTTCCCGCCTGCGTGCTCGTCCTCGTCCTCGTCCTATCAAGCTCCAAACCGTCGCAGCGGCAAACCAGCAGCCGAGAGAGTGTCCCCTCAGTCCTGAAAAGTCTTAGCCAAGTCCTAAGAGTCCTGACTGCTGCTGACTTGGGGCTCGTTCTCTCGTCCTTGGACCGTGACTTGACCTGGCCTGACCTGACAAGAACGAACCGGACTACCACCACCAACACCCCCCCTCCCCCTCTTCACTCCCCCAACCCCGACACCCCGGCCCAAAGTCCAAGCCCAAGCCCAGCAGCCGCAGCAACAAGTCCTAAAAGTCTAAGCCCAGGCCATCCATCATCCCGCCGATTATTGCTCGAGTACGACCAAACACCACCAGCACCACCACCACCACTACTCCTCCGCTGCACCGCACCGCACGGCTGCCGACGCCCTGCAACCCAAATTGATATACCCTCTGCTGGTCCTGCCCACCTCGGGCCGTCGCTCTTCTCCCTTCTTTCCCCCCCGACTCAGTAATCCCATATGAGCTTTTCCAACTCCCGCCTGAAAGGCTTTGGTTTCGGTAAACGCAAGTCCACTGCTAGCATCCAGACGCCCGATCCGAACCAAACCCCAAGCCCGACCCCTCCTCCTCAAGGTCACCCCTCCGGTGCCCCTCAAATACCGCAACAGATTACCGTCCGCCCAGGCTCCATCGCATCGACCTCGTCCGCCTCAATCGCCCCGATGAATCAACACCCAGGCGCCGGCAACCGGCCTCCGAGCTACTCGGCCAACTTCCCCCAGGGCGGTCCTCCTCCCATGGGTCGCACAAGCCCGATGACGGGCCAAGGTCCGGCTCGCACCCCGCCCTCCCAGATGGTTGGCGGCCCTCCTCCCATCAACACTGGCGCTCCCGTCGCCGGCTATCCCCCTCAGCTTCCACCCATTGGCGGTCAGGGACACCCCATGGGCGGTCCTCCCCAGTACGGCGGCGGCGGCGGTGGCTATCCTCCTTCGGGTCCTGCTCAGGGCGGTCCCATGGCACAGTACCAGCGGGGCGGTAGCGCGGCCGAGGTCGAGGGCAACAGCAGGAGTAAGGCTCAGCTGATTGTCGGTATCGATTTCGTACGTGGTCTCCTTGCATCAGGGGAACGCCTCTAACATTTCGTGTTGCTGACATGACCCAAAGGGCACAACTTTCTCCGGTGTGGCGTTTGCTTTTGCGACAAACAACGAAGCGAAGGAGGACATCATAACAGAATGGCCCGGCGCTGGTTCGTACACGAAGCAAAAGGTAGGGAAAGAATCGACTTCAAAGCAGCGTGGTGCGTTGTGTCTTCGTTCTTGGCTGACACGCTTTTTCTCCAGATCCCCACGGTTCTCTACTACGATCAGTACCAGAAGGTTGTTGGCTGGGGTCCTGATATCGCCGATGCCCTCGCCCCTACTGGATACCCGAAGCCCGGCGTGCAAAAGGTCGAATGGTTCAAGCTGCAGCTCATGTTGTCCGGCAACACATACATCGACCCCATCAACCTGCCCCCTCTGCCTCCTGGAAAGTCCGAGATCGACGTCGCGGCCGACTATCTGTTCAAGCTCCGCCAGGCGATGCGCTCAGCTCTGCAAAAGACTCTCGGTGAAGTATTCAACCGTGAGGAGCGAAACATCCGTTACTACCTCACCGTTCCTGCCATTTGGAACGATGCCGGAAAGGCCGCCACCAGAGCCGCCGCCATCCAGGCCGGTTTTCTGAGAGACGAAAACGACAACCGGTTGACGCTAGTTTCCGAACCAGAGGCCGCTGCCATTTTCTGTTCCAAGACGGGTCTCCTGAACCTCAAGGTCCACGACGCTGTGCTGATTGTCGATTGCGGTGGTGGCACTGTCGATTTGATTGCGTATGAAGTTGAGGAGGAGAACCCCTTCACAGTAGCCGAGTGCACGGCAGGATCTGGTGACTCTTGCGGTTCAACAGCGCTGAACCGCAACTTTAGCAACATTCTGCGAACCAAGATTCGTAAAATGAAGCTGCCCGACGGATCCAAGACGGCGGGCCGTGTGTACGCCAAGTGTATTATGGACTTCGAGAACCGTATCAAGGCCGACTTCCGCAACAACGGTCAGAAGTGGGCTGTCGACGTGGGCATTGAGGCCGAGTTCCCCGAGGCCGGCATCGAGGAGGGTTATATGACGTTCACCAACGAGGAGATTCTGCAGTGCTTCGAGCCCGTTGTTAACCGCATTCTTGAGCTCGTCAGAAACCAGATCATCGCCATCCAGGCGCAGAACCGGACGTTGCAGAACATTCTCGTCGTTGGCGGCTTCGGTGCCTCTGAGTACCTCTTCCAACAGATCAAGCTCCACGTCCCTCCCCAGTTTCAGTCCAAGGTCGTCCGCCCCATGGACTCCGTGGCCGCCATCGTCAAGGGCGCCGTTACTGCCGGCATCACCGAGCGCGTCGTCACGCACCGCGTTGCCCGTCGTCACTACCTCATGGCTACCTTGCAGCCCTTTAAGGAAGGATACCACCCTGAGGCCTACCGCGTGCCATCCCTTGACGGCAAGGACCGTTGCAAGTTCACGCGTCAAATCTTTGTGCAGAAGGGTCAAAAGGTCAAGATTGGCGAACCCGTCAAAGTCTCATTCTTCCGCCAAGTCGCACCCGGTGCGACGCTCATGTATGAGGACATTTTGTATGCTTGCGACGACGATGTTTGTCCCGAGTACACCAAGGATCCCCGTAAGTTGAATGATAAATGTTGGCATTGACAACCGCTAACCTCGGACACAGGCATCAAGGAAGTTGTTACCCTGACCTCAGACCTGTCGCGCAAGAACCTCGAGAAGGACTTTGAGAGGATGGACACACAACAGGGCACCTTTTACCGTGTCTACTTTGATATTTATCTGACGCTCGACGGATCCGAGTTCAGTGCAGAGCTGGTTTGCCAGGGCGAGGTCATGGGTCGCTGCAGAGCGCGCTTCAGGTAAAGACAGCTGCGGAGTAAAGGAGAGAGGGAAGGAGGGAAAGAAGAGAGAGATTGATAATGTTTGCCGGCTTGCATTGGGCATTTCGTTTCCATACACTCGGATGATACCTCGAAAAGGTGACAGGGGTCAGAAGGACAGCCGAGGCTAATAATGGCCGAGAGTACATACCACGAAGACACCTCCCAGGACAGATGGCTGGAAGACGAGGATTGGATTTGGGAGGTTTTTATGATGCGGAAGGATTATGGCCTATTGTCAAGTGTTGTAGATGCACCACACTTCCCATTTGGGAGAAATCAAGATTTTTTCCCCCAAAAAGACAGCGGTGGCACAACGACGTTGTATGGAGATCCACCCGAGTTTGGGGGCAGACTGCAATGAAATAGTATGAAGCCATCGCCGTAAGGTAGTCGCTGTAAGTGCCAACTCTCAGTATCCGGGCATTGATCAGGTCTTGGTCCAGAGTGAATCAAGCTTGCCAAGAATCGTGTTCGCGAACCGGATACGCCACGTGAAGGATGCTGGGCTAGCGGTTATTGAATCAAAACATCCCTACGTGAGAGGTACCGTGTGAAGCTTCCTGGCCAAGATCATGACGGTGAAGAGCAACGCCGTGGAGGCTGTGTGAATGATGAGGCAGTGCCCGATGCGATGTAGACCTGCATAGAAAAGAATAGGGCGATTACTTCAGATGCTGGCTGATCCTAACATGCCTCGACTCAGCCACAGTAATAACCATGTGGAGACTGAATTACGCCCAGTTGGTAAACGGCGCGGGAGTACAAGAGCCAAGCAAGGAAGGCCCTGGTCGCCAGCGAGCCGAGCTAGTCCAGATTAACCCCGTCAGTGCCAGCGGGAAACCGGGCAGCCAGTTGCTCCTGCGTCATCGTCTGAACATGAACCGCTGGGAAGTTCAACCCAAGGTTGGGCCCTGCATCTTGCACCCTCAACACTTGCAATGGCAGCAGGTAAATGGGACGGGCCATTGAACCCCTCAGCAGCTGGGCAAGTACGGAATAGTGCCTTTACGGTAGAGAAGGTAGGTAGGTAGGTGGGTAACGTAGTGATGGGATGCCGTGTTCCTCTCCTTTCTTTCACCTCGACATCTCAGGAACCTCGGTCGCTCGAGGCTATCGTATGCCACGAACCTCAGTTCCCTCCTACGAACTCCAACACGTCCCTTTCTGCATCAGTAGTGTCAAATTACGCGGTATTTTAAGCGCGAAGAAATAACCTACTTTTCCTGCCCTACGACCCAGTTCCTGTTCCACCCTTCCGTGCCGCCCAACCAACCTGCGTCTCCCACCTGGTCCAACTCTGACGCTACATCGCGCGTGCAGGGATAATCAGGAATTGGACCTGGATCAAGCAGGCCGATCGCCTCTGGGCAATCCCGCCGCCCCTTGCTTTCCATTCGCTCTCACGTCGACGCTCCGTACGTCACTCGGCGCAGGTCCATCGCAGACTATTGGTGGCTTCTAATTGCTACCACGTTGGCGCTGGCGGTATATGTACACCAGATTGTCGTTTCTTCAGACCGCGGAAGCTTAGAACCCTCTGTACCATGAATTGTCACAGCATCCCGGCGTAAAACATATATCGGATCCTTCGAAACGACGAATTGCCGGACTGCTCATCACCATCCTTTTGTTGCTTTTCTTGAATTATACCCATAGCCTGTCAGAGGCGTCTGGATCACGGACCATGAGACTGTCGTCGTCAAAAAGAGGCGACCAGCGGGGTACGGGAACAAGCCAGAGCCTCTTCATCGCGCTGGCCCTATCCTCGCAGCTACCGACGGCCAATGCAATCGTATTCCCCAGCTATCATCCCAATTACAAGACCGACTACCTTCAGCTGAACAAGCGGTACAATCCCGCCAGACGAGGCCCACCCGAGGACTGGAATGGGAGAATACCCTTAAAGGTCACCAACTCGTGTCCTAACACGATATGGCCCGGCATCACAACGCAGCATGGCGTCGGCCCCGGAATCGGAGGTTTCGAGCTTGCCTCCGGTGATAGTCGAGACATGTGGGTTGGGCCAACTTGGCAAGGCCGCGCTTGGGGAAGAACCAACTGCACCGTCAATGGAGAGTCGGCAGGCTGTGAGACGGGTGACTGCTTTGGCAAGCTTGACTGTGAATTCAGTGTAAGTCTTGTCGTCTTGAAGGCACCGAATAACTACTGATCAGCCCAGGGCGCCGTTCCTGCAACTTTAGCTGAGTTCAACTTGGCCGGCGGTGTCTCTGGACGACAAACGTTTTACGACATCTCCCTGGTCGACGGTTACAATATTCCTGTGGGCATCAACTACATCCCCGCCGACAATACCACTTACATCCCGCCAAACTTGACCAACTGCGCATGCATCGCAACAACAGGATTCATTTCGCAACGCGCGGCAAGCGGCACCGTCTACACCAACAGCACGTACCCCGTCCCATGGGAGCCAAGTGAATCCAATGAGAGTTCTCGAGACTGGTGTCCTTGGCCTCTGCTTTCCAACCCACCAAACAAGCCCGGCGCCGGTGTTTACCCGTACCCAGACGACAATATTCAGCGTCCGACCTTCAGCCCATGCAAGAGCCAATGCGCTGCCACGAATTCGGATTCCGACTGCTGTATAGGCAAATGGCATGACCCCAATAAGTGCAAGCCAGGCTTGTACTCCAGACACGCCAAGGCTCTGTGCCCTGACGCGTACAGCTTCGCCTTTGATGACCAGACGTCGACATTCATCATCCCCTCGGGCGGCGGCTGGGAGGTCGTCTTCTGTCCTGCCGGAAGGAGCACTAACATTCTGCGTACCATGGGACCACAGCTGTTTGAGCTTGCGAGCGCCGGCTTCCTGAGCCAAAAGAACCTGGATCTGGTTAAGAATCAATCCTACATAGATTCTGAGAGCGAAAAGAACGCTGCTCCGGGCCTGGCTTCGTCGTCTCTGTGGGCGATTTGCGCGGCGGCTACAACCGCGGTCATGTTGTTGGGTTGGTAGATGCCTTTTGGCTGTTTGTTTTTTATCTTTCTCTGGAATAAGCGCGACGGGCTGGACCCGCGCAATCAGCCGTGCTTCTTTGCAAGTTTGGATTTTGGCATTGGGATACCCTGGAATGACTGGACGAGGCATGGACGATGGACATAAGACGCAGAAGGGCGACGATACAGAGGCAGGAGGGTGTGAGCTAGAAGACAGCATATCCGCAACCTTCCCTTGGAGTACCTAGAAAGCTTATACCCTTGATAAATACAATACACTTCAAACATTGATTTACCTGACTCGAGGGACACTGCATGTTTACGACTCAACACCATGGAGATGGAGGCTCGCCATCGAGATATGAATTTGGAATGAGTAACGTGAAGCTGTATCTTCATGGGATGATGCGAAGAACCATACAAACCCTATATATCCCGTAGTCCGTCCGTGTGTGTGAGACAAGGGGATCCTTTTAAGCTTTCGGAAGGGAAGCGATGGAGGATGAGATCCGCCGCCGTGGAACCGGGAACGGTCCAGAGCCTCAAGAGATTATCACAATTGACGTATCGGTACTATATGGTCTCGACGTAAGAGAACTCTCAGCGCATGCTGAAAAAGACCGTGATCAGAGGTGGCAGCGAATGAGTGAAACACATCGTATCAAAGTCTTGAAAAGTTTTTAATTTTTGTACTGGCTGAAATGTACCTTGTGTAAGGTACCGGTATTTACTTGGCTCAAGGTCACTGTCCTGACTCCGGTTCTATATCGTCCCGCCTAGGATCTATCTCTCTCTCTCTTTCTCTTTCTCCTTCTCTCGCGCGCTCGGCTTGTGTACGTTTCCTATTTCCTTGATTCCGTTTAGGTGGGTTCAAATGTTTTTTTCTTTCTGACATTCTTTCTTCTTTTTTTGACATGATGCCTCCGAACAACACCCTGACCGATGACAAGTCTAACATGATAATTGTGATTCTCTTTCTCTCTCTCCCTCCCTACCTCTCTCTCTCTCTCTCTCTCCGTCTCTCCGTTCCCGCATCAAAACCGCATGAGCATGACTTTCTCTCTTCCCTATATCGCTCGTTTTCCCAGCCTCCTTCGTACCCGGTACCGCCATGTATTTTTGTACGTCGTCTTGGCCTGCATCCCCCCTTTCCCTTTGCCCTCTCATGGAGAGAAGGAGAAGGAGGAGGAGGAGGGGCTGACTTCTGAAGAAGAGTTTCTGAAGAAGAAAAAAATGTACCAGCGGAAAAGGATGCGATACAAAGGTCCAAAGTTTTTCATAGTGCCAAATTTGCTCAAATCTGCAAATTCCCCTCTCCTTCAAAAGGACAAAGGCAATAAAACGCCCTTGATAACAGGAAGAAAACTTCAACCCTTGCGCGCGGCACGCTCCTTGCGTCTCCGATCCCACTCGGCCCTCTCGTCATCATCACTGCCGCTAAACTCCGCATCGTCGTCATCGCTCTCGTCGTCATCGTCATGGTGCGCGTAGCCCGCAGGCGGCACAGGCGGTGCGGCAGAGTTGGGAATCGCAGGAGGCGCACTGGGGGGTGCAGCCGCTCCGCTCTTGTTCTTCTTACCAGACGACGACGACGAGCTGTCTACATTGATAAAGTCGCCGGCGTTGAGGGAGGCGTACTCGTGCTTCTGGATGAGGTCGCGGAGGGCGGGATTGCGGGGGTCGACGAGCTGGAGGGGCGTGAGGCCGCCCTTGTTCTTTACGCGCGGGTTGGAGCCGGCCTCGAGCATCATGTCGACGAGGGCGTTGCCGAACTCGCGGTTGGCGAGGGGTTCGTTGTTGATCCAGCGGATGGCGGTGTGTAGTGGGGTGTCGCCTTCTTGGCGGTTGATGGGGTCGCATTCAAAGTTTGGCTGGTCGAGGAGGAGGTCGATTATGTCGTCTGTGGGGAGGAGGACGCGTTGACGGTTAGGAGGCTGCATTTTCTACTAGACTATGGGGAAAAGGAAGGAAGCGAGTGATGTTGGGGAAGAGCGTGTGTGTGTGTGTGTGTAGCAGAGGGAATGGGAGACTGAAGAAGGGCAAAACGTACAGTTTCCTCGCGAGGCGGCTTCGTGGTAGAGGTGATTTCCCATGACGGTGGTGGTCTCGTTGAGAATGCGGGCGAGCTCGTTCTCGTCCTTGATGTCGGCGATGACCTCGTTGAACAGGTCGGTGTTGTCGCGCCGCATGGCCTCGATGAGAAGCTCCTTGGCGGAGGCGCCCTAGAGGTTTTGTGTCAGTCCATTGTGTCTCTGAGAGGGGGGTTGTCTGTCTAGGGGGACGAACCTCGTGCTCCTCGTGATCCCCGGCCATGACTGTGGACTTGGGTTTGTCTGTGTGTATGTGCGCGCGCAGCTTTTCACAATGAGGCTATCGTGTCGGGAAAGGGGGTGTCACGGAGGGTGACGAGGGTTTGCTGTGCTGGATGAAGTGGTGTTTCGAATGGGCTTCCGTGCAGGGCCGGGGAGATGTCGCTTGGTGGGGTTGGCGGATCGGAGGTCACGGCGGCAGGGAGAAGACGGTGAGGGGTAAAGTATTCGGTGGTCTTTTCTTTTTTTTTTCTTCAAGGTGCGTTATCGTGGAGAGAGCGGAGGGGGCGGGGTGGGAGATACGATAGTTCGCCAAGGGCGGTGAATGTGTGAGGTTGCGGGAGACGAAAGATGGGAGAGAAAGGTGAGCAGCGCAGAGGTCCGATCGCGCCGTGAGGTCAGGTCGGGCAAAGCAGATCTCCTGGGTTCGGGGAGAGTTGCGAGTCGTCACTTCAATTTGGGCTGCGTTTGGCTTCCTGATGAGGTGTGTTGCAGTTACGTAGGTACCCCCAGTGCCAAAGTGCTCGTGGGGCTGAGAGGTTGCGTGGCAGTTTCCAGGTTTGGGGTGTCAAGGAGGTGGCAGTGATCGCCTAACCCCTGATTGACGCGGGATACGTAAGGTAGGTAGGAAGGTACCCAAGGTACCTTAGGTCAGGTAGTCTGGCACTCTGGGTACCGAGAACCTCTTTCTTTAGGTGCACGTCACCTAAGGTAGGGCAGTTGCCAGAGGGCGCCTATCGTACCTAACCCTCAGCAACAGCGGGTAGCTTGCTGCGGTGCGTCCGCTGAACAAAGGGCCAGCAATCCTGGAAACAGTCCGCCGACCCCGCTATTTGCACTTCAGGTGGATGGACGGGACGGGTAAGGCGGGGTTGAGAGACGGGAGCCTCTTGGAGGGGCACGGAATATTATTGCGGCGGGATTCCGGCGGGACGGTGGGGTTCCTCTGCAAAGACCGTTTTTTCCTGGACGCTGGTGACTGTTCCGCCGGCTGGCGAATAGCGGCTTCGTCCCCCACCGTCGCATTAGAGGCCCGCTGAATTTTCCAAGAAGATTACACCGAGGAATGAGGTCCGCGGTGAGCTAGGCACATCACCAAGCATCACGATACCTGAGACTCCCACACCCAACACAATCTCTCCCACGAACAAGCGCCGCCCAACCACAAACCACATACCGCCAAGATGTTGCTCTGTAAGACTCTATTCCGCTCCAATGCTCCCATGCTCCAATGCCCCTCAGTGCTCTCTCACTCTCCCTCTCTCCCTTTCGGGCGCACCCGCTGACAAGAAAACCAACCCCAAGTCTGCCCCAATTGCGCCAACATCCTCACCGTCTCTGCCTACGCGGGCGTGCGCAACCGCCTCGAGTGCCGGACCTGCCCCTTTGAGCACGCCATCACCGAGCCAATCTACTCACGCCGCGAGTTTGAGCGCAAGGAGCGCGAGGACGTCTTTGGCGGGCCCGGCGAGTGGGACAACGCCGACAAGGCGCGGGCCCAATGCCCCAAGGACGGCTGCAACGGCGATGAGGCCGCCTTCTTCCAGGTCCAGATCCGCAGTGCCGACGAGCCCATGACTACGTTCTACAAGGTACATATGCTTCGCTTGGTGTCCGAGGGGGGTTGCATGAACGACAGTCTGTTAACATGGCGTTTGTAGTGCATGACGTGCGGGAACCGGTGGAGAGAAAACTGAGACTGGGCGAGGAGGAATTTTGGAATTTCACCGGGCATTGCGAGGCGTTGGGGAGGATGCTTGGATCTGCTTTTATTTGTTTGTTTGCTGTGCGCACTACGACGTAGGTGTCTCTCTTTCTCTGGAGCTTTTTCAAAGACTGCCATCTCTACTACGTAGGCCGCTTCGCAAAGCGAACCCTCCTGTGCGATTTGTTTCAGTACCTAGTGGCTGTTCCCTCCGGCCCTCTCCTATATTGTTCGTAATCTCGTGATGTGTCTACTGTGCTGCTGCTTCACGGCCCCGCGCGTCTTCTCGCCTTGTCGCAGCCCGCTCGTGATCCTTGGCTCCCCGTGCTCCCTCGTCTTCTGAATCGTGTTAATGCAGCACCGCTCTCGAGCAAACGTGGCTTCGTTCCCTGCTACCCAGGACAGACACAGAATCTACCGCGACCCCGGTGACTGCAGTCCTCCTCCCTCTTCTGCTGCTAAAGCGAGGAGCCCATCTACTCCAACCTAGTTCACGCATCGCTCCGGTGCCAGTCGATCGCGGCCCGCATCCCGTCGTCCACCAGCCTCTGCACGAGGTCCGGACTGATGACGTCCTGCCGGAACTGCTCCTGCTGCAGGAGCTCGAGGTGCTTGAGCGTGGGGCCGGGGTACATGAGGTACTTTAGGTACGGCGGGCGGGACCAGTATTGCAGGTAGGCGAGGTAGGCGACAAAGTCGGGCCGGGTGAGGAGTTTCTGGGTCGCGAGGTGGTTTAGGTAGAGGGGGTTTGCGAGGGATTGGACGAACTGCGCGCGCGCGTGTTTTGCTTGAGGTTAGCAAGGCTCTCTACAGGTCGACTCTGTCTTTTGGACTCTCTGTCTGCACTGGGGAAGTGTGAAGGTGCATATTGGGGGATGGGGGAAAGTATGCATGTACCTCGAGCTCGATTTCAAAGCGCGTGTAGCCGCCGTAGACTGGTTCGCTGTCGGGTGGAGGGGGCGGTTGAGAGGGCGTTTGGTCTGGTGCTGTCGTCGCCATCGTCGCGATTGGTGGCGCGCCTGTAGGTGTTTGTGGATGGGATTGTGAGATTCGGGGAGAAGTGGACGGCCTGGATGTGGGAATTGGATCTAGAGCTTGGACAGGGGTCCTGCCGCTAGCTCTTGTCACGCCGATAGAGAGCGACTCGATGGACGGCCGTTTTTACCTCGAGTTTTGGCCACACTAGAACACTCAGAAACTTCCAACTTTTACATACTATTACACATCTGACGCATAAAGCTTGAAGAAGACTTTTTTGCATCTATACCGCTTCAAGATAGAAATGAGTCTGGCTTGCTCGAGGCATTGAGGTATGCTGCTAACAGACCTTCAAGGGCAGCGTGGGCTGCAGTAGTTTCCGCGGGGAAGCTGCAAGGTCCCCTGCATATACAACTGAACTGACATCACTCTCCTCCGATGGTCATCTGAACGCGTGCAAAACGTCCATTTAGCGGCTTGATCACATGGCTAGCAGACCTCTTCAAACGTTTGTACGCCAAGCTTTCACTCGCGACCGTTATAGCGAGAATCTCGAATTGCATTCATAAAGACGGCATAAGGAGTCGTGGAGAGGAAGAGCCAGCATACTCCAAAAATGTCTGACCTCGAGATGGTCGTATTTTCACATGAACATTCTGAAGTAGTCAAATCGGGGATCTCGTTCCAATAGCAACGCTAGTAAAAGAATCAAAGCACTGTTTGCATCAGTGACGCTGGTGAGTTCGCAGCTCGCTGATCAAAACTCAACTTGATATTGCTTTGATCATATTCCTATATTGGGATGAATATAATCTCTGCTGTGTTCGTCTTAACCTAGCTTGTTTTTATCTGAAAACAAGCGTATCAAACATGTATGTACCAGCGTTTAACATTATTATAATCGCAATAATACAGATTACGATTGTTCACTTCAATGAATCCCATGCGCTCCCCATGTGCTCAATCTCTGCCACCCCTTGCGTATCTCAAAGCACACCTCTGGCGCCAACTAACCCTCAAATCCACACCCCATGAAAAGATTACCTCCGGAAGTGGGAGGAGCCGCGAACGATAAGGTAGTACCTTGGTATTGGGTTCCAATGCGTTACCCGCGCTGAAATGCCCACGTTCATAGGTTATCTCCGAGCTAACATGAAAGGACCTGCCGTACCTTAACACAAATGAACTTTCCGCCGGAATAGCTATCCGGTCTGTCTGCGGAGCTCTTACGTCCAAAAGGTATCATCAAGTTTCGCCGAGCACGGTAGAAATAGACAGAGTGTTCATTTCTCCTTAGACAAAGGTCTCGAGGGTTATTCGCAGTTTCGTCTGGGCAAAGACCACTTTCTTCCCCTTAGGAGTCTCTTTGGATGTTTTCTCGTCAGAGGCCATAACCTCGAAGAGAACTTCGAGCATTGTGAGGAGCTCGTTTGCTTACACGCCAGAGAGGATCGCTTCACATGCTCCAATGAGGGCTTGTGCCAGGAAAAACAAGAGAGCAGAAGTATTGAACGGCGACAGGACTAGTCATGATGAGGACGGTCGGTTACTTTTGTGCCGTTAGAATTTCACTTTAAGCTATTCTTCAGGTAAAACTGGGGAAATAGGATAATGCAATCACACGCTTCATCCGGTACTCAGTTGATTCCCGGTGCATTCATCCATATCTACTTCAAAAGAAGAACGTAGGGTACGGGGCGACTTGAGGTATCAATCGGTTGAGTAAAAGGTGCCTCAGAGAGGTGATATGTGACCCAATTAACTCGGTCAACCACTCGAAGGTGATAAGACGTTAGTAGATTCTTTTTGAAAATATCTGATCGAGTTTAACGGGCTTCTAGAAAGACTGATAGCTTAACATCACAAGTGCAAGCTCATCTCATCTCACCGGAAGTATAATTCAGCATCATTTCGCAAACTGAATGTGCGGCATCAAGTTTCGTCCGAGAAGTCACGGAAAGTACTATCTTCCAGAACATGGGGCATGTGATAGCTTGAAAAGAGCAGGGTGCTACTTGGACATCAAGCCACAAGTTTATCAGTGTTGAATCATTTCTGGTTTGAGCCATGCTTGACTTGATGCTCGCCACTAGATATAACCAAGAGAAGGGTATGAACTTGATATTCGAGTGTGGAGGGGAAAATACCAATTTACTAAGTGAAAGCTTGTGAGTAAACATAAAGAAACTGAATTTGATCAACAGGTAATATGGGCAGAAAGGACGTCAACTTGTTGACGTTGTTCAAGCCCAGCTCTAGCCGAAATCGCTCTGGCCCGGGGGATAAAGTACTGGCGAATTATATTATTAGAAGATGGCGATCTTAGGATGGTGATGTTGCTAGTGTGGCTAACAGAGACATGTTGTCGGAGTACTGAGGTAGCATTGGTGAGTTCGGCGATTTAACCTGTCGGGAGGCTTTAACCCGGCGCGACATCGCCGGGCCCACTAAATAAAGATATTTCTCCACTGAAAAGTTGACTGAGAGGCAGAAGCTCCAACGTGCATGCAAGCTGGGAAATTTCGCGACGCCAAACCTCGCAAACAAACGCTACACTGCGCCAGAGTCACGACATTTGCTTCCCTCCCCCAAAATACCACTCGACCCAGCTCACAGCAAAGCCCCGAGCACTTGAAAAGCATGGCTTCGAAACGCAGCTACGAAGCTTCCGAGGTCCACGACGCCGCGCAGCCCGCGTCTAAACGGAGCAAGAATAAAGCGCGCGACCACCAAAACGCCCACATCGACCCGACATGGGGACAGAAGTACGTCTTCTCGTCCGCCGCGGGCTCGACGACGGTGCCCGTTGACCCGGAGCTGGAGTTTGAGGATGATGGAGATGCCATGGCGTATCTCAAGTCAGTAAGGTAAGAAAGCCCCCTTTCCACCCCCCCCCCCCCCCCCCCCCGCCCCTCCTCCCGCCCCCGCCCGCACCCCGCCCCGGGGGGCCGGGGGGGCCGCGGGGGGGGGGTTGGGGGAGAGTGGGGTGCCACGGCGTATTCCAAATCAATAAGGGAAAAAACCCCCCCCTCCCCCCCCCCCCCCCCCCGGCTGTCTTCTTCCAACGTGCTGAACTAGTCCTCGAAGTAGTGCAGGTTGATGCTGATATGGTGAGTACTCTAGGACGCAAGCAAACGGCATACCGCACCTCCTTGTCGCGCCAAAAGTACCGATCGGCCCGCAACTACCAAAAGAGCTCCAATACAAGGACGGTGACGTGGAGGGAGGCGAAGCCGCGGAGGAGGAAGAGGAGGATCGCGACATTTACACTACTGGCCAAGGCGACTTCAGAGGATACTACGCCGACGGTGCCTACACAGCAAGACCTGATGACTGGGACAAGCCCCACGCGAACCGCCATAACGACGAAGTGGAAGAAGGCGAATGGCCCGGAAATGAAGGCGTCTACGGCGCTGAAGACGAAGACGCAGACGCCGATCCCGAGGCGGCCATACGCGAAGCCTACTTTGCCGCGATCCTCTCCCGCTTCAAGACCCTGCGCAGAACCCTCCACGCCGTGCCCCCGCCCCATGCCATCGCCGCCCTACGCCCGGGGACTCCGCACGACTTCCGCGTCGGCGCCTTCGCGCCCAAGTCGGCCACGTACGCGATCTGGTCTAAGCGCTTACGCGACGCGGACCCGCTGCCCGCGCAGGTCGCCTCCATGGATAAAGACGGTGTACTGCGCGTGCTGCGCGTGCTCCTGGGCGGCGGTGCCTTCCTGCGTCGCGGGAGCGAGCTGAGGGAGCGGACGAGCCGCTGGCTCTGGGCGCTGCTGGCGCGGCTGCCGGAGCGCGGGGAGCTGAACCACGTCGAGGTCGGGTGGGTTCGGGATCTGGGGCGGAGGGCGGTGCTGATGATGCAGAGCCTTGCGGATATGGCGGCGTTGAGGGATGCTTTGGAGGGGGAGGGGATGGATTTGGGGGTTCATGATGCTGTTGACGAGAGCTCCGATGACGAGGATGCGTTGAGGGAGATGGAGGTTGACGAGAGGGATGGCGAAGAGAAGGAAGAGGAGGCGGGGACACCGGGTGGTAAGACTCATGCCCAGGCCGAGATATTGAGGCATGAAGAGGACGCTGCGGCATCCAACGATTCAGTCGGCGATGACAAGCGCGGTGGCGACCGCGACGGCGACATTGAGGATGGAGAGATTGACGACGATGGAAAATCAGAGCCAATGGACGTCTCCGAAGACGGCGAAATAGACGAGGGCGAGGTCGTTGAAGATGAAGAACCGGCACAAGCTGAAACGCTCGAGGAAGCGCGAGCTCGACTCCTAGCCCAGCTGGACACGGCAGCGGCCGTTGAAGATGCGCCGTCAGAGGCTCCCTCAGAGGAACCGACGGCCGCAAGGAGCGCCTGCAATGGGCCGACTACTACCGCATGAACCAAAAGTTTGCCAACAGCATCATCGACCTCTACAAGCCCGGCGACATCGTCATTGTCCACGACTACTACCTCATGC